GAACTTCAAGTGCTTTTCCTCTTGCACTCTTAGTCTTTTGGAAGATTCCTCTCTTCCATAGTAAACCAATTCCGGTTTGTTGTATCTTTGCCTAAATCAGAGGTTCCCAAACTGTGGGGCGCGCCCCCTAGGGGGGGTGCCGTGTCATTGCAGGGACAATCCACATATTCATGCTTCCATTTTAGCTTTCAAGATGAAGCCAAGATGCACCCCTACACCCCAAAAAAACCCCTTGAAGTATAGAAAACAAAACATATTCTGGAGATGTATGTTAGCCTTTACTTTTTTACTTGTCTCAGAGTGACTGCAACAGCACCCCTGTCTTTTACAGTTCACTAGTTACTATGTAGTAGTCAACCAGACTATCACAATGACCTTTGCTTCAAAGAATAAAACCATTAAAGTCTGTCAAATGAATATGTTTAACACGTATTAAGTTTTTTCAGCGCAAATACAGTAAATAAATCCATAAATTGAAAGACAGCAATGCTGTCTCAATCTCCTGTAACAGTGGTTTTCCATGTTTGTCCTCAGGATTCACTACTCTGCATGGTTTAGGACTCTTCACACCTGATTTGAATAAATGGTTGATAAATGGGCTTCTGCAGCACTGAGTTGATGCAGTCATTTGATTCAGGTTTGCTGGGGCAGAGGAACGTCTAAAACGTTAAGGACAGTGGGCTCTAAACACCAGGATTGAAAAAAAAACTGTACAAGCACAGAGAAGAAGCATTTTCCTGATTTCTGACTCTTGTTCAAATGTAGCTCAGCTACAGCTTACATTACTTAGTAGTTGAGCTACAGTTTTAAAGGGGGAATGCAGCAGTCTTTGTCTCTATCAACTGCAGAGTTACACAAACATATTTTGGTTATTATCAAATCCTACATATTTTGTCCATGCTGTTGTCATGTTCAAAGAACTTTTTGATGAAAATATTTCTGTATTACAATGTCAAAATGTATGTGTTTTCTTTCCTTGTTTGTGCAATGCCAAGATTTGTTTTAAGCTGTAAACTTAAATTCGATTTAGTGCTGTTTCCTAGCCACTAGAGGGCAGCAAGAGCATTCAGTAAAACAGTGTTAGGACTATTATTTATATGAAGTAATTTCTTCTTTTTTTCTTTCACCTTTGAATTAAAGAGAATTAATATATACATACAATCTAGAATTAGTTTATGACACAACACCTTTGTGTGTTACAGTCAGATTTTGCTTACAAAGTTTTAAAGGGGAGCAGGATCAGTATCTGGTGCACCCAAAATTTTAATAGCATTGTTTTGTTTTTTTTTCACCTTTTCTTCTTCTGCTGTGATGGCATCTGAAGACAAGTGAACTGAGATCTGATGCAAACTCCATCTGCATCTGATTTTTGAAAACATGTTTGTGTACACAACTGTGATAAGATAATACTTCCAAGGGAAGGAATCTGATAAAGAGTTTCTTTTAAAGGATAGTTTTTATGGGAAATCAAAACAAACATTAAAGTAGCTCATTAACAGGAACACGATAGACGCCCTTTCTGACGGATAAAAAAGAGAACAGGTGAACTCCTGTCTCTCCAGAACTCTTTTCAGCATCCACCCCTGCAGAACAACTCCAGCAAAACTCTGAAATCTCTCAGAATCAAGAACATCAGACTCCAAGATGATTTTGCTGTTCTTCATGTTTGGTCTCTCTCTGGCTGCTGAGGTTCCTTCAGACAGACAGGAGATGAAACTACAGCGGGGCGGCTGTCCCCCGTTCTGGTTCGGCTTCAATGAGCGCTGCTACAAGTACATCGCCACTTTGATGACCTGGGCTGATGCAGAGCAGCACTGTCTGACCCAAGGAGCCAACCTGGTGTCCATCCACAGTCTGGAAGAAGAGAACTTTGTCAAACTGCTGATCAGAAACTTTGATCCCGCTGAGGGAATCAACTGGATTGGACTCTCTGACGCTCAGAAGGATGGAACGTACTTCTGGTCTGATGGGTCTACTTTTACATTTAACTTTTGGGACACAGGTGAGCCAAATAATGCAGGAGGATCGGAACCGTGTGTGCACACAAATTCGGGCCCAGCCAGAAAATGGAACGATAGAACGTGTACAGTTCCACTATCCTTTGTTTGTAAACTTCGTCCATATTGTCAGTGACTGCTGAGACTTAAATTCTGAATCTGATCAGAAGTGATCAAACTAAACATGAGGAATGAAACATGGCAAATTTTCTTTACATTTTTTTTTCAGTTTGATTTTTATCATTATGACACAGTCCTTCTTTATGATGATTTTATTTAAATGTGTTGACCAGAAAATATCAATGCAAAATTTAAGATAATTTAACGCATATCACTGAAATTTTGTTTTTCTTCTGTGTATTAAAAAAATCTGAGCCATATAAAACTCGTATGAGATATTTTCAAGAGCTTGGTTAACTGCATAAGCAACATATGTTCAGTGTAGTTTGAACATATGTTTGCTAAATGTCTTTGCTAAATGTGTTTGACCAATCAAATTATACAAGATAAACTCTGTGAAACCTATTACTTTTCACATTACAGTCCTACCAGGCAGCAGCAACGTGACTTCTTATTTCTTTTATTCAATATGTATGTCATACATAAACAAATTCTTAACCATGTTCTGGTTTGGAGCGCTTTGTGAAACTATTATTGTTTTTAAATAGTGCTATATAAATAAAATGGCTTGACTTGACTGGAGCAGGTAGACATACTAAACCAAATGTGACAAAAAATTCATGTCCACTTACATTAAAAAAGAGAAATTGTAGAATATGGTGACCAAAAGAAAACATTCTCAAATTAAGACAGTAGCAGGGGTCTGAAAAGGAGAAGTGTTCTTCCTCAGCGAGAAAATTGGAGCAGTCTGCATACCAACAGCATCAGTCCAGGCATGCCCTAGATACCATGACCATGGGATTGATTTATACAAGTTGTCTTTGTGCAGAGATCAAACTACTGCCTGAAACAATGAAAACGAGGCCCTTGAGTATATTTTGTTATTGCACATTGATGTCATCAGTGGCTGATCACATTTCAATCCCTGTGATAAATCATCTGTAACTTTGTAAAGCCAGGAAAACACCTTTCTCTCAATTTGTCATCACTTATTCCGAATGGTTTGCTGGCTGATTCTTAAATAATTCATTTAGTTACCAAGACTAAGACTTTAAACTATGCATTACATAAAGTACAAAACAAAATTAAACAACAACAAAAAGAAAATCCCAAGGATCACGACACCTATGGTGCCTCTATATTTCCCTGAACTGTTCCCAGAGTTTTAATATCTACATGTCAACAAATCCTAGATACAGGTTTAAAAGAGGAGGTGAAAACTCCTTAAAATTAGTTTCTGGTGAAACAATCTGCTTTTGCATGTTAGAGCCTCACAGTCTGTCTTTTTATGAAACAACTTTCATGCAATGAGCTGTAGATCAGACGCATTTAAATGCATCACAAAGTTTTATTCTGTTTTTTTTTTTAGTAGTCTATTTCTAATAAATAAATTGTTGCTAGTGCTTTGTGAAGTGCTTTCAATCACTTGCTTTAAATGTGCCACAGAAATAGAGACTTGACGTTGTTCCAACATTCAGGTATCTAGAAGCAGGGCTTAAGAAATAGACGATGCATTTACAGAGTGTTGCCTTCGTGGTCGCATTTACATCATAAAGAAAAGATGTGATCGAGACTGGAGCTGTTGTTTAGGCCGAGGATCCTGGCCACCCCCACGTGCTGTTTCCGCGCGAAGCCGGACCGAACCATTCCGAGTTTAGGAGGGGAATCTGTGGGCTGACTTCTTCTTCAGGCTTGGAGAATCTGTACATGTATTTGAGATTTAGCTATACGTTTACTTATTTGTGAAATTGTAAATATGCTGGCAAGTTAGTTACGTTTCTGTGCAAAAAGAAAAGCACGCTTTACGTGTGCGCACGGCGACAACACGAGCCCCATTTTCTGTAACACTCTTGAGCGGGTCGGTTTTAAATCCACCTTTTTTCATTGATTTCATTTCATGAGCTTAAACTTTCTCTCCAGAAAACTTTAAGCTAAAGGAATAACCCCCAAAATGACCCTCAAGTCAGATGTAAGTACCCGAACCGCCATGTTGTTGGGTTTTTCTGTTCTTTACCGAAATGTAAGCCGTTGTATATTGTTTTTTTCTAACCACACCTCCACGAACGGCCCTGGATATCGTGGTTGTAAATAAGCTAGTACTTGTTTTAACCTCTGTTACCAAGTAATCCTATGGTTTGTTTTCAACTGCACTTTAAATGAACGTCCAGAAAGTATTTTTGCAAGTCTAAATGAAGGCGCTTATGTTTCGTGTTTAAAGGTTTTATTCGAACTTCAAACATGCATTTAAAGGAACTGCCTTTTTTATCTCTCAGATCTACAGTTGCAGTAAAATCATAGTTGGATAACGCTGCATGCATATTAATGCAGCAGCATACCACAAAATATTGCATTTCTCACCTGTGAGCTCAAACAAAACATCTTCTTATCCTGCTGTTTTTATTGATGACGCCACAAGAGGTACTAGGGATTTGTAAACAACTCATCTGTGTGAGTGATGGGCTGTACTGCAGCATGCTGATCCATTATAAGTGTCTACCAGATGATCATTTATTATCATTGGCTTTTTTTTTTTTTTTTTTTTTTTTTAAGAAAATGTTTTTTAGAACTTAAGAAACCCAACACACAAACC